CAATGCAGATAAATAAAGGAGCCTTCTGTCAAGAATAAACACCATTAATCATGAAGCCAGCTACTGCGTGACCGCCTGTCCCCCCGACTTACTCCATAGAGAAAGTATTAGAGAAGGGGGGGGGGAGGCTGGTGGGGTGAGGCGAGGGAGGAAGGGAGGGAGGATGGAGGGGGAACCAGTGACTGCACCAGAGAGGGGTGACCTATGAAGTCACACAGAATGGGTTTTGGACAGTTTGAGAGGAAGATGAAAAAGTGGCCTTCGTCTCTCTGCCCCTGCTTTTTGGTGACAGCCGCCGTATCTGGACAAAGATTATCAGATGCGATTGTGGGCTAATCATTAATTCCTAATGTAATTTATAGCTTCACTTCACATTCTGGTTTAGTCTAGACAATATTCAAATGTGAGCGTTAAGGACACATTTTCAAACAGGAGATTTTTATAATCGTTTTTGCTGCAGAGAATCTTAAAAAAAAAAAAAAAAAAAAGCAAATTGTTGGAAAATGTTGCAAAAAATTATGCTGCCACAAATTCTTGCATCATATTTGACAAAGGCTAAATCAGCAAATGAGATATAAATTATTAAATGAGGCCTTCACACAGCATAAATAGCCACGAATAAGATGATAACTTACAAAAGCTTTCTCCTCCAGCACCTACAAAAGCTACAGCAGGTCCTCTTGCCTTTCTGTTGTTTCGATATATATATATTTATTTATATATAAATATATATATATATATAGTGTGTGTATGTGTGTTTGTGTGTGCACTTGTGTGTGTCAGCACTGCACTGCTCGGCCTCGTCCCATCTGGAAGGAGGTGTTGAGATAAGACTTTAGTCTTTATGCTAAGCAACATGCCGCTCCTCCATGCGCAGATTGGGCGCTCTGACAACAGTTTATGTAAATAACAAAAGAACTCGGCGCACATCGAAACAGCAAACAGCCTCGGTGAGGACACTGAGGGGGAAGCGTGTAAGAGTCGATGCACCGAAACGGCGCGAGCGTCTCCGATGCTTGGATTTAGAGGGTAACAAGGTGGTTCAGTCGCGTTTAGTGCCATATTGCGCTCTTTATGCAAAGCAAAGCCTCTGAAGCAACAGCTCACACAGCCCTTAAGTCAATTAACTCCTTGCTGGTTCTTCGTTTGGGAGCTGAGGTTGCGCTGCGATGACAGAGTCGAGCCGCAGCTCTCCCCTGGTACCTTCAGAATACCTTCCAGTCGGTCCAGGCCTGCAGCTGAACAAACACGGTGCTGAATGAAATAACCACACAGGCTGGAAACACGGAAACGCACCCTGAGAGCCCCCACCTGCACCGAGCCTCCTCACTGACAGAAAATAAAACCCATGACTTTATTCATGAGTCACACTGACAAGTTTTCTTTTCTTCAAAATGTGACCCTTTCTTTTTGCCCTCCTGAGCTTCAGATTGTTGCCTTTTTTTAAAATCCTTAATGTGGTTATGATAGTGACTGATATTTTTGTCGGAACAGAAAAAAAGGAAAGTATTTAAATTTTTACTTCACCTTCTAGCAAAGTAGTTTTAGGCATTTCTTGTCAAACTGCAATCCTTCAACAAATGCGATATTGCAAGAAAAACCTCAGACTGTCTGCAGAGATTTCCTCATACATCCATAATTAAAATGAAATAAAGTCAGAGCTCAGAACACTCTTTTTGTTTTACAACTTTATAGACTCTCAAATTGACTCTGTCAGTTTGACTTAATTCTTTTTTTTAAAATTCACACTGTGTGCAAAGGGTTGTGAGTCAATTGCTTATCCCGTAAGAATGTTTTGTTTTTTTTTAGTGGCCCCATTCACAGCACGAGGGCCCGGGACTCCAGAGTAAACTCTGATGCTGATAATTGACTTGTGACGAATACCTCTGTTTGTTCTGAGCGGTCTCCGGGTGACTGAGAGCCGGCGTCGAGCCGCATGAGAGGGCTGTTTTGTTTTGCTGTGTACCGTGGTCAGGCAATAAAGCCGGAATGAAAGGAGCGGTCTCTTCTCTTGGCCCCGGCCTCCCCCCCCCTCCCCCGAAAACTCCCATTAAGCCAGTCCCGCACAATGGTGGTGGCAGAGGGGACCAGAGCTCCCATGGAGAGCCCGCTCTTCACTAGTCAATGTGTTTATTTAAGCAGGAAGCATCTTCTCCTGGAGCAGGAGAGGCTCTTTTCTGTCTTCGGCGAGGCTGGAGGTAAAACGTTTCTAGACCTGGGAAAAGGACAGACTTCAAGGCAGAAAAAAACTCTTCCTGGTTCTGGGTCAGCGAGGTTTTGGTTCAGTAAGAACACGCAGAAAAAGCTTGTTGTTGGGATTAGTTTCAGCTCAGAGAGAAACTCCTGTCAGGTGCTGCTCCTTCATGAGAATATATAAGTTTCCCGGCAAAGCAAGCAGCCAGTCGGAGGGACCCCCACCCCCTCCCCTGACCCCGAGGCTTTAATATTGAATGGCACATTGGTACCTTCCCCACAAGAATTCATAAACTAAACGATTAGCCTCTGTCTGTAATTGCACTCTCCCTTGCCTAATAGGGGAGGTGAGGTAAAGAGGGAAAAAAACAAAGGACAGTTAATTTGTGATTTCCTCTGCTCATTTGAAGGCAAATTAAGTGTCAAACAGCTAATACAGAGCATATTTCATTTTATGAGCTTTTAATTTAATTCCACCGCCTCATATCGCTGGAGCCCGTTAGCCGCGCTGCTAACGCCCGCTCCTCGGCTGAAAACGAGGGCCATAAATAAACATGTTTCAATTAGGCCCTTCACAGTAATAGGATATGATCCTGTTCATTTGCCACGTTCGGATGGTGGATGTGTCATTGTGGCGGCGGAGGAAACAAGCTGCTGGGCGTTCGCCGGTGTTTTTCTCCGGCCACGGATGCCCGCTGGTGGCTGGGCTTGTGTGCGTGCGTGGCGGGGGGAAGCTGGCTGGATTGATGGAACTGCCGCAGGGCCAACCCAACTGTAATTACAGGCCGTAATGAGAGGTTGCATGGGGAAGTACTGCAATAATAGTCCCTGTGTACTTAGGCATATCTTTGAGAGGGCTAATAACGATTAATTCTGCGCACCGAGGAGAACTTGTCTTAAAACAATTCAATATTTCTCCATAAGCCGCCTCCTGTCCTCCATTTCCCCGAAGCGACAGCTATACGTCGGCCGCCTCTATTTGCTGGGGCCGGCTACAAGCAGCATTACCGAGGAGGAGGAGAAAGCATCGTTTAAACCCTGGCAGATATTATTTTTTTTTGGCTGCAGTTTCACGCTCGTAAAGTTTGGCCGCAGCAAAAACTTGCACAAACCTGGGAGTGCAATTAACTCCAATTTGCCATCAGGTGGTTGGGCCCAGCTGTAATACGGTGAGTGATTCTTCTCGCTGAGGAATTCGTAGCCGCTTTTTTAATCAAGCGGCGAGGCAATATCGCTGTGCAGAGTAGTTGCGGGGATCATTTCTGCATGAAACCCACGTAAGCTCGCAGATAAGGCGCACGACAGCGAGTTCACGGTTTTGATTTAAATAAGGCCGGCCACTCAACAGCTGTCTTATAATCATGACAAATAGTTTCCCTCAACATAGTGTGTCATATTAAACAGCTCTATGCTTAATGGTTTGGATAAATAGGCCTTAAGTAGCGTGGCAGAGCGCGGCCGTGTCTCCGCTGACAGCAAACCAAGCGCACAGATAACTCCTGTCCGGACAGAGTGACTGAAGACACCGGCGCTGCGTAACTTCTCCCCTTAATTCAATTCCCCGGCTCTGTTCCGTGTTGTCCCCCCACCACCTCCTCCTTCCTCATTTTTCTCCCACCTCCCTCCTATAACCTGCGCTCCACATCGCACCAAAGCGCTCCTGACGGATAACAAGCCCGGCTGTTTGTTTGAGCCTGTGTTGCCTGCGCGTGTTCGCCCCATTATCTCCGCATAAGCTAAATGCTAAATTATATTTGCCATTTTGTTTGCAGTGACACGGGGCATCAATCACCTCCCTTTTTTATTTCCTCGCCTCTCTCTCTCTCTCTCTCTATCCCCCACTTTCTTCCTCTGCCGCTGCAGCTCCCCCTGAGCAAGGAGACGAGGGGGTTGAGAGGTGGGGTGGGCCGGAGGTGGAGGGGACATAAAAAATTCATTACGCTTAGTGGCACATCAGCAAGGGAGAGATATGACTCCTGAGGAGGAGAAAGGGGGGAGTTGATAATGATGAAGAATATCAAACATAATGCGGCCCAAGTAGCTGCCCCATCCAATTTGTCCTCGTCGCGCCGTGATCGCTTCCTTCGTGTCTGCGGTTAGGAAACAAGAGCCGCAAGGACGATGAAGCATCTCCTTGCAGTGTTTGGATGCAAAAAAAAAAAAAAAAGATAAAGAGAGAGAAGGAGGGCGACTAAAAACGAGGAGAAATAATTTGTACATGCAAGTGAGCGCTTTGAAGTTCTCTGCTGACCTGGGCAGCGCCGTCGGAGGCACTCCAGGGAACTACGTAATGAGCCTACTTATAATAACTCCATCTTACGAGACATGACGCCATGTTTTTACCTTACTTAACGTTTGATAGAATGTACATGTATATGATAGTCTGAGGCGGTGTACAGTTGGTATGTCAGGAGCCCATCTGTGTCTGTCAGAGACGGCTGGATGTCAGCAGAGGCACTGCTTCCTTCTCTTGACAGGGCTTGATCACTGCTCTTATGAGAATTGCGCGCTCCCAGGCTTCCCTCGCCCTGCTCTCATTTCCATGTCTCTGACACATGTTCATTTGCGTGTCTCTGACATGCGGATCATGTTGCGCACGTACAGGGCCGTGGCCTTTGATCCTGAAAGGCAAAGAGAGGCGCCCCGGCACCCATGAGGAGGACGCTCCACGCCCACGGGCCGGAAGGAAGTTTTCGGAACTCGATTTGTATCGGCGTTAATAGCGGGGAGGCTCGCTCGGTGACGTACATGATGCAGCTGAATCGAACGTGTTCTCAGTAAGATTTCGGCGTGTGCATGAGACTTACACATGGAGAGGGGGCACGGGGGAAGGCTCGTAGATGTAACGTCCCTGGGTATGTCTGTCGTCGATGGGCACCGGAGGGTGGAAGGTCGGGAAGAACTGTGGAGCAGCTGTATGGGCGAGAAAAGAGAGGAAACGTTATTCTTTACACTTTGCAAGACCCGTGGTTCTTCTAAAAACATATTGTCATGTGAATTCACTCCCTCCTCAGCTAATCTAAATAGCAGCCGTAATGAAAGGCAATGGGGTTGATGGCTATCTTTCAGCGGACCCACCCAAATGAGACCTCATTAAACGCGCCGAGCTGAAAGCTGCGCTGACTCCAAACTGTTTCAACGAGGAAGTCTTTGTAAATGTCTGGAGGCTGATAGAACTCAAAATAAACAGCGATAAATAACCGTAAGAGAAGCAGCCAAACGGCACATTTCTCACCGTGCCAAGCATAATATGGTTTTGTACAAAGAATAACATTTAAGTACAACCAATGAGACGTACAAAAACATCCTTTTCCATTTCAGTGTTTTGTCACAGAGAATCCCGAGGCTTCTTTTTCTTTCCCCCCCCTCCCGCCCTCCAGATAAAACATTAAAACATTTGCATAATACAAGCTTCCAAGCCTTTCTCTATTTTTACCCCCGAAACTGAAACTGTTGTGCTGCCACCAGACCTGAATATGTATGCACTCATCTTCTAACCTTAACTGCACTCTGTGGCACAAACTTAAGAAGTAAAGCCGGAACTGTGTCTGTATGTGTGTGTGTGTGTGTCTGTGTCTGTGTGTGTGTGTGTGTGTGTTGCAACTGTGCATCCAACGTGGGACGAGTCGCAACAAGCAGAACCAAGAGTGGGAATTTTTCACAGATGCTGCCTACTGGAGCTGTGAAAACTTAAAATGGGTTAAAACTTGCACAGAAAGACAAACAGCTCACGACTCTTTACACACAAATGAATCACATCTTCGCTCACTTCATTCATTGAGTATGAACACGTCTCTCAACTCCAACACGTGTCACTTTATTGCCTGTTAGCGAGCCCGTTGCCAAGTTGCGTATCACCTCCCCGAGGCAAAGCATGTGTCAACATCTGCATAACTTCACGCAGCAAGTCTGCGAGGCTGCTAGCTATGAGTTTTTTCTCTCTCTTTTTTTTTTTTTTTGCTTGTAAACATTTAGAAGCGTGAGCCAAGAGGGCAGATGGCCAAACGGTGGGGTGCCCAACAGCTCTACAAGTGTTGGGCCATGACAAATGCAGCTGCATGGCAGAGCGGCGCAGCAGGTGTTGATCCCTGGGCACATCTCAGGTCCACTTACCTCATTGCTCATTCATTCACGGGGATGATAATTGCCAGCTTGGGCCAAAACTGCTAGAATTAAGAGGTGATCCGTTTTGGTGTTGTTGTAATCCTGTTGCATTAGAATTTTAATGAAGGACTCCCATAAAGATTCATAAAAAATGAAGGGGCAAGTCAAAAACAGAATTATCCTCATATTTTGTGTTGGATGCACCAGGATCCTATACTTTCTATGATCTTTTTCTAATAGAATCCTGCATTTGAACCTCGCCTCTGAAGGTCCCCTGATCTTGGAGTATTTTTGGAAGCTCTTTCTAGAATGACAGACAAAATAAATCAGCTGTAGGAGTTCCCATGAGTGTTCATCTGACATGATAAATTGCCGGAGTACCTTTTTCAGCTTAAACACACGACACACCAAGACATCAACCGCTACTGTTTTCGGCACCAGACAACTGCATGTCTTTTGAGGTCTTTTAAGGTGAAACTCAGGTAGAAAATGTCAAGGACTGATACTCAAACAGCACTTTAATCCAGATCACAACTTCAAATTATTGTCTCCAACTCCATTGCTGATTATCATCGTTTCTCTGAGATAGCACTCAGAGCAACACAAAGATTTGCTTAAAAACTTAGGCAAACTTCTTGAAGCCGTGCAAGTTTTCACAATAGCAGAGATAAGTGGTAAAAGCCTTCTCCATCCAGCTCTGGCAAGTATCTGACCACTTCGTCTCTGTCTGTTTGATAGTTCTCTCTTGATGACTCAGTTTTGGCTCGGCTCACCTCGGCCGATTCCAGAGCTGCTGGGGGAGGGAGGGATGAGGGGATGCTGGGAAGGAGGGGATGGGTTTCTGGTAGACAAGGGCTGAAGCTGCTTTGTTTACTCTCCGCAGCTCCAACTCCCGGGCTGTCGGCCCTCGGCTGTCAGACTCGGAAATGAACCTTCAGGTTTAGCAGGGTCTGTGCGCCGCGCAGCAGCTCGATGGGAGTAAAAGCTTCATGTTCTCCAGTCTTACTCATCCCTGCCCACGTAGCAGGAACTTTATACTCGCCTCTGTCATGTCGGGCAGTGGGGGATAACTATAGAGATTACAAGCTGTGAAATCACTTTAAAGACTCCACCCCTTCACCCCTGCAACATACACCTTCATTCCCACATCCGCCACTCCTCATTGAATTACCCAGATCTCCCCTTTTGTTTATGTCTCTGGAGCTACTCACTCAGCAGAGCCCTGTGCCTCGACTGGACCCTTTTTTCTTACTCCTTCATCACTCTTTCCCCTCCCTCCTCTCGCCCATGACTTTGCCGCATGGCAAACCGTTCCGCTGAGGTTTATTTAAATCCAACTCAGAAGTTTACTTTACCATGGCCCTATCTAAATAGAGCCTGCCACCTCTTTTACACCAGCGCAGCTCTCCATTAGCAAGGCAAACAGCCCCCGTGTCACTAGAGGGAATGTATACAGTCACAAAGAACAGAGAGCAAAAGGAAAGAGGGAGAAAGGCTCCATCCTGCAATCCATCTCCAGTGTTTCCTGTAGGGACTCCGTACTGTTTACTCCGGGACTAAATTGCCCCTGCTCTTCTGGATATTCGGGGGTATTCTCTAATACAGAATACAGCTGGAAGGCACACAGGAAGCCAAAAAACACACGTCACAGTTTTTACCTTCCCGTTGCGGCCACACAACCACCAAGCATTCCTCAAGAAAGTGTAATCACAACCGTTTTGTCCCTGTTGCATATGGTAAACCACTGCTGGCAACGTTAGCCGGATTAAATAAATCATCTGAGCCAATCAAATGCATAAAGTCAGGAATCTTGAAGACTTTTTTTTCTTTTTATTTTTGCATCTTTTGAAATATAGAGAGGCTAACATTTTCCATAGTTTTCAACCGATTCATCGGCTCTTCAGAACATTTTAATGACCTCAGTGCAACTTCTCAGAGCAGCAGTATTCATTTTTTTGGTTGTTGTTTTTTTTTTCCCCTTTTTCTTTTTCAGTCTTTTAAAGAGAAGGGATGGAAGTCATTAAGACATGATTACAAATGGGTCTTCATGAAAGGGCAATTAGAAGCAAACTTTGACCAGGCTCATTAATTCTAATTCAACACAAACTCACCGTGCTCAGGACCAAAAGCCAGCTTCCCCTTCATTAAAGAGAGGATGGTAATTGCCTTGTCCTTTATTGGACACTTGAATCATTTCAAAAAGAAGGAGGAGGACAAGGGGAGATAAAGCCTAAAGCACATCATTTGCAATATCCTCATTGGCTAATTTCATCTCATAATGGAAGTTTTGCCACTGAGGATCTTCACTGTGCTTCGGAATGTATTTGATGTGATACTTGCAGAGAATTTAAACTGTCACTCGCACTTCTGATTTGGGGGTTTTGATAACGCCAAACAATTTCTCATCTTTCTTTTTTCTTGTCAACTCAGCATTGTGAGTTTATTGTCTTGACGGATAAACCGGCTCTCCTCTGGTGAGGGTTCACTGACTCTGCTCTGAAGGAGTGTCACCTGCAGCCGAGGACGAAACACTCCTCCATAAACACCGCACTTCTCATCGACGCTCCGCTGCGAGAGCACAAAGAGCCAGTGACAGATTGTCATAAGCGACTAAGGCGGAGTGAGAAAAGGGCTGCTGGGGCCTGCTCCAGAGGTTTGTGAATTGCTAATGTGGAACATATGAAGCCTGTGCCGGGGCTGTGACTGCCAGATTTCATTATGCCACCTCTCTCCCCGCTCATGATCTCACTGTTCAGGCACGCTCGTCTGCAGCGAGGCCTGCAGTTACGCCACAACTCAGCAACACTTTCGAGTGTGAAAGATGCTCGAGACTTTGTTTGCATGCTTGAAAGCGCATGTATGTGCAGCTCTTGTTGTTCTGGAGGTGGATACAAACACGCGTACATGACTTCACTATGCAAACGAGCCGCATTTCGGCACACTGCTTTACTGGTGGTTTTTTAGTTACTCCTGATGATGTCACCTTGAGACATTTAGAGCAGAGATTTTCAACCTTTTCACATTGCAAACTCCTTAAAATGAAGAGATTGAGTGTTTGAGCAACTTCTGAAGCCTGAGGAGGTGAATAAACCCAATAAGACTTGATTAGGGCTGTAGTCAAACAAACAACAGTTTGCCTGACTAAAACTGTACCTATTTGTCACCTGATGTAGTTTTGCCAAGGCCGATATCGATGCCGATGATTGGTAATCAAGGCGACCGATATTTGGCACCCATGTAAATTTGCAGTAAAATTAAAATACTGGTACGAAAATTTAGAGCAACACAAACTCCTGCTTTTTTATATGTGTAATACTAGTACTTTTTCAGCATTTACCCTTCAGTGTTTATCGGTTATTACAGATAGTGCTGTGGCCGTATCACCGCTAAAGACTACAGATAGAAAAAGTTGCATCAGAACAAAAGCAGCATGTTGTAAAATTAACATATTTTACTGGAACTTTGATTTTTCTTTTAAACGATAATTGAAAAAATTGCTGAATCAATCTATCGTTTTTTATCCAATAAATGATTATTAAACCTGACATACTGAAAAATGGCAACATTGATATGTTTACACTCAAAGCCTCAAGAATCAAACATGGAAGTTCACGGACGATCGTAAAGAAGACAAGTTAGCCCACATTACAGGCAATGTTACGCTTTAGCTGTGGATCCGCAGCCACATCAAGGACTTCCTTGATTGGTTAAGGGCTGGTCCAAATAGCTGGGGGGGGTATTCGGAGAGCAAAATTGTTATACCGATTCCAGCACAGCCAATGAATAGACAGCTATCCGGGTCCAGCCCT